CACTCATATGGTGGCCCAAGCCACTTCCAAGAGTCCGGGAAGTAGGTAAAACAAGTCTTTGTATTCAAAAAATTCAACAAACGAATGAATGAGGTGATTAATCCATTGTCAATTTTGACTCTGTTTTGAAATATTTTTATTAGTTTTTTCAACTAACTTCTTGTTGCTCTTTAATGGCTTAAACATTCAAAAAAAAAAAAATTTATTTTTTTGATTATCAGGGTGTCCAAGTCAACTTACGTGTATCTCAACTAATCATTGAAGTTCATTGAACATCCTATAAACTCAATATTTCAAGTAAGCCACAAATTAAATTTGTGATAGGTGGTTCTAAGGTTCGAACTAACGAAGTTAACAAGGGGAGCAAACATTTTTTACCGTCAGTTCAACCCTTTGGGTTACATTCAAAATTTTCAACTCTACTTATGAGATTTACTTTAATTAAATCATCTTATAGCAATTGATCTTTCATTGAAGAGGTCCAAAGGTTCCCGAACCAATAACATAACATTATTTTCATGGCACCGAATCAAAATATCATTACATATTATTACATTATCCATCTAATGAAATCTTAGTATTACTCTAGTAGGTGTGTTTCCCTCTCCTCCACAATGCTAACAAAACTTAATAGGAGCCAAATAGAGTCCACACCCAACCATGATTTTAAGAACTGGGTTAGTACTTAGTAGTAATGTTGACAAGCATAACTTCGTTATAATTATAGAGACGTAAATATGAAACATGTGAATCTTTAACACCACATTAATTACAAAATGATGCAATAAGTTATGTTATTTTCTATAATTAATTTTGAGGGTTAGACCAATACATCACATCAAACTTGAAATTTTTTTTTTTTTTTTCATTTTCTTTATCCTGATTGTATGTGGAGATTTGAACTTGAAACCTTTGACTCTGATGTCATGTTAAGTTACCATTCTATCTAAAAGCTTAAATTTGTAGGTGAGAATTCAATATATATTAGACCAGTAGATTTTAACTTGTTTTGGCGCAAAATACGATTAGGGGAACAATTTCTAACAAGACTTGCCGACACAACACGAGTTTAGGTATTAATAACAATCCCTATCTAGTGGAAGCATATCTAATATTGTACAAGAGAAAGAACCATTGATGGTTAATCAACTACGTCAATTTGTTATCACATACCTAATTATAAAGAATAATGTTGCACATATAAAATCTTATCCAATAATTAATATATCATTATATAATATAAATCTAACATTTAAATCACGTGTCTCATTATACTTTCCTCATTCATAACCAAAACTCTAGCTAGCTATTGGAGGAATGTATACAAAACTGTCAAAACATATATATGTAGTAAAACCTCTCTGTAGTCATATTGATACGATCAAATTAATTTTATTACTATAATGTAGTTATAACTTAATAGATGTGTATTTCAATACGAAAGTGTCTATGCTGACAAGTTATTATATACCCTCAAGTTCAAAATGTGGTAACAACTCTAAAAGCATAAGTCATTTTTTTCAAAAAAGTTAAGATAAATATTTTATTTCATCTTAAACTTTTAATGTAACGTAGTATGTATTTTTTTGTAATATACATATAATTATTACTATATGAAGACAAGTCCTTAACACGGAACTTAGAAAAATTATAACTTATTACAATTATCACATTATCAACATAGTGAAATAGTACTATTACTCGTATGTTTCTCTTTTTTTTCCATGAAAGAAAAAAAATTAATAGGAGCCATATTATTAAAACATTGTTAATATGAATATTTGTTATCACATTGTCAATACAATGAAATCTATTTAAAATGTTACTATTTCTTGTAGGTCCATTTCTCTTTCTTTCATGATGCTCACGAAACTTTAATTGAAACCACAATATCGAAACACCATTACGTGTTATCACAATATCCATAAACTAAAATGTTGTTGTTCCTCATAGGCCCATTTCGCTTTCTTCCACATAATGCTAAGAAAACTAAATAAAACCCACAATACCAAAACATCGTTACTTGTTTTCACACAACCGATACAATGGAATGTTGGATACTAAATGTTACTACTCCTCGTAGGTCCATCTCTCTTTTTTACTTGATGCTCACAAAACTTAATAGAAATCACGTTATCAAAATTACATCGTTNAAGAATAATGTTGCACATATAAAATCTTATCCAATAATTAATATATCATTATATAATATAAATCTAACATTTAAATCACGTGTCTCATTATACTTCCCTCATTCATAACCAAAACTCTAGTTAACTATTGGAAGAATGTATACAAAACATATATATGTAGTAAAACATCTCTGTAGTTATATTGGTGCGATCAAACTAATTTATTACTATAATGTAGTTATAACTTAATAGAAGTGTATTTCAACATGAAATTACGTTACATTAAAAGTTTAAGATGAAATAAAATATTTATCTTAAGTTTTTTGAAAAAAATGATTTATGTTTTAGAGTTATTATCACATCTTTGAATTTGAGGGTCTGTAATAACTCGTCCGTATAGACACTTTCATGTTGAAATACAGATAATTATTATTATATGAAGACAAGTCTTTAACACGGGATCTAGAAAAATTATAACTTATTACAATTTTCACATTATCAACATAGTGAAATCGTGCTATTACTCGTATGTTTCTCTTTTTTTTCCATGAAAGAAAAAATTAATAGGAGCCATATTATTAAAACATTGTTAATCTGAATATATGTTATCACATTGTCAATACAATGATATCTATTTAAAATGTTATTATTTCTTGTAGGTCCATTTCTGTTTCTTTCATGATGCTCACGAAACTTAATTGAAACACCATTACGTGTTATCACAATATCCATAAACTAAAATGTTATTGTTCCTCATAGGCCCATTTCGCTTTCTTCCACATAATGCTAACAAAACTAAATAAAACCCACAATACCAAAACATCATTACTTGTTTTCACACAACCGATACAATGGAATGTTGGATACTAAATGTTACTACTCCTCGTAGGTCCATCTCTCTTTTTTACTTGATGCTCACAAAACTTAATAGAAATCACGTTATCAAAATTACATCGTTACATGTTATAACAATATCTATAAAGTGAAATATTATTATTTCTCATAGACAGAGATAGACTAAGGGTTCAATACCAGTGACGGCAGCTTTAATAAAGATATAAATAAATAAAATGTTAAGTAATTTAATATACATCTACAACAACTAAGGAGAGTAGGTTATAATCTAAAAAAGGTATCACAAAGTGCAATCCCATTAAAAGAGAAAAACCAAGCAAAATTAATAATAATAAATTGAGTGGGGTCATCAGCCCCCACTCGCCCCTTAACAAGTCCGGCCCTTCTCATGGATCTATTTCTCTTTCTTTCATGATGCTAATAAGAACTACATTATTAAAAGCTCCCTTCATAAATCACACCGTCCTTATCGAGAAATGTTACTATTACTCATAGGTCCATTTTCCCTTTCTTTGATGATGATCATGATGCTAACAAAGCATAATTGCAAAAAGTTTGGTTACTAGTAATGGCGGCTGGTATATATTAGCTTAACTATAATTTATACTTTATAGAGACAGCTGAAAGAATTTTGTTACAGTATGTACCTTAATAATCAAAAGCCCAACTACAATTTCGGCTTTAATTTGTTTTAGTTAACTCACCATCAACAAACTAACACCCATATGTCTATACTCTATACTATTACTTTGAGTGTGACTATTTGTTACCCTTTTTTTTTCAAATATGATACGTAAAATAAATGTAAAAAATGATAATGAATCTGTCACAACGGCATACTACCAACTGAAACTAGCCAATAATACGCAAATCTAGTACTTTCTAACCAGATCCACAGTAATACGCCAATCTAACACTTTCTGGCCAGATCCACAGTGGATCTAGCCAGAAAAGGCTAGATCTGACCACCGTCAACAACTGTCAGATCTAACCATAGATCTTGCCTTTTTCGACCAGATCCGTGATAGATCTAACCAAAAAAAGCCAGATCGATGCACGATCGACCATATCTGACCGATCGTGCACTGTAATTCCAAATTCTAACAGTGGTAGCCAGAATCTGACAACTATGGGTGAAAGTGTTTTTGTCATTTTACAAAATTTTTATATATTGGAGTGTTTAGAAATTAGCAAACTTAGAAGAGTGTTTCTGTTAATTTTCAAATTTTACTCGTTATTACCACCCAACTCAATTTTACAATAATATTTCAAAAATACTACTCAAAATAACTAAGCAAACACACTCGATAACAAAAAAATAGATTTTTTTCTTTTTTCATAATCGAAAATGTCTGAACCAACTTACGTTGCACCTCAACTAATCCTCCGAGACCTTAAAATTACCAACCGGACAAAAACTTCAATGACCATCCCTTTTAACAATAAAGAAGAAATTCAAACTCATAACCTCTTAAGTTATGCACCTAAGAATCCCTATCAAACTATTTAACCACCCAAGGGTTGGTTAATTTTTAGTTTTTTTTTTTAATTGTTTTAGAAAACATACAAGTATGCAACCAAGTATAATACATCTTGTCTTTGTTAACACAAAATATTAAAAAGTAACTAAAAAAAAAAAAGGGTCACCCATCCTCAATACCTGAAACAAAAAGGTCTTGAAATACCAAATGCATTTTAAAGAACTATTTCCAGAAAACGCTCTCAAAGTTTATCAGATCCAACTTATTTTCATTTGCTCAGTTGCTAGACCGGATAACATTATCGTATATGAACCTCTGGATCACGTCCAACAGTTGACAAAACTATGATCTAATGGTCCAGATAAAGAATTATATTACCATCAGTAGCATAACGCGATCCTCATAAATACTTTTTTTCCCAACTTCATAAAAGAAAGTACCGAACATATAACGATCGGTCAAAACCATCAACATCAGTCACAATGATCACAATGTTTACTAAAATGTCAAGAAAAGGAATTGCAAATGAAACATTAATAGAACAAGATTAAATTTTCCATTCACAGATAGCATTTACGCTATATGATCAATAAACATAGACAAATAATCAAGGCGAAAAATAGCAGAAGTATTGAATTTACAAAAACAGCTAGTTGAAATGTCAAGTCAATATTTATAATTTTTTTACCAGCCAATTATCCCACGTTTCCAGTAGCACATATATATAAGCTGAGTTGTGAACTCCATATTCTTCATTTACATCACCCATTATTCCTTCTCTTGGAATCGGTAATTTCACGCGTCCACCTAGAAATTATAATACACAAGGAGAATGGCCTGAAATGAAAGAAGATAAATTCTTAAGATCATAAGTTACTAGAGGGAATTATCGACTAATGGAGACTGTTGATTGCGAGAGAGCACATGCACAAGTCACATTCCTGAAGGTTAAATGCGTTACTACGAAAGATGCATGATGGTGTTTTTGGACTTTAATTGGTCATAAATTCATGATGGCAGCAGTGTTCTGAAAACCTCTATGATGATAATGAAAGATGCAAACTGGCACTTGCTGTTGCTGATGCAATTTTCAATCTGATAGAAACAGATACCTTGACAGAATTATCAACTAATAGAGACACTCAATTACGCAAGCACATGCACAAGTCAAGTCCTGAAAGTTAAATGTGTTACTATGAAAGACTTCAAAGAAACACATGGGTATGATTGGCTGTTTTTATCAGAAACACATGGTGGTGATGTTCTGAAAACCTCTATGATGATAATGAACGATGCAAACAGGCACATGCTGGTTCCTGATACCATTTTCAGGTATAGATGCACTAACAAGAATCCCAGCTGGATAGCAAACCCAACTAATTTTTTTGAATGATTGGTCCTATCTGACGGAGAAACATCCCTAAGTTATACCCGCATGATTCCAAACTCATAAAAAAGCAGGTTCCTACTCGTTCCCAATATTATATAAATACTAGTTATACAATACAACAAAACCCAAAAACAGACAATCTAAAGCTTCTACCAAGGATTGACAAATGAAGCTCATCTACATAAACACAAAATGTATAGATTCGTTGTATATGTTGTATGTGTTGCATTTAAGGCATTTATTACATATTCAGAAAATATAAAGCAACTTCAAATGTAGAGTAATCAGGAGATATACCTTCACCATGCACAGAGAATTGACTTGTAAGGCAAAAATCCAATGTCACATCCAGATGGTCCAGCTTCATTCAATCAGAAATATTACTCAACCCCAGATTTGAAATCTATCAGCTTCCCTAATAGTAAACCTATCTATACAAATCAAAATCTGCAGAAATATCAAGCCTTAAGCAGTAAAATCTGCAGAAATATCAAGCCTTAAGCAGTAAAATCTGCAGAAATATCAAGCCTTAACCAGTTTAATCAGCAGAACCAGCTAGATTTTTAACTAGCTTTTTCTTCCTTAATCTCAACTTTGGCTATAGAGGCCTTCTGAGCAGCTCTTCTTTTAGTTTGAATTTGGCGCACATATTCTGCGACTACAACATGTAACTTGGGGGCAACCTTGCTTGGTGAAGTGACATTCAGACCAGCCTTTTTAAGGGCTCGTGCAACATGCTTTTCAGCCTTCTGAAAATGATTGGAGCACAGAGAAGGAACAGTGGATCTCAGTATTGGCTTTCCACAGAGAATAGGTCCAGTATGCGCACTGCATATAAACCACCATTTATTAGGAAAAACATTATATCAAGGAAAGGATCTCACTGTGTTTGTTCTCTCTCCTAACAACAAGAAGAAGCAATCATGGACATAAATCCCAGTTCAACACCAGTATCCAACAGGAAAGTAAAAGTAGATTATGTACTCGTCTCATATAACGCAGAAAATACCTCAAGGTCCTCAACTTGTAGAGCTAATTTGAATCACAGATTAAGAATTTTTATCTGCAGCTTCTTCATCTCTTTTACGTACCATATGCAATCACTATTAAATGACTTAGTAAGATCAGCAAAACTAATCTCATCCAGAAAGGGTTAATCAGAGCCCATGTCATAAAATAAGAGCCTAAAGCAAGAAGATTACATCAGTCTCAATCTAGTCTTTTCATTCCCCACTGTAATACCCCAAAATTGAAAAAATATTACTGATAATAAGACTTTATGGAAAGACTGAGATTTAATTGTCGGGCCAGCTTGATATTATTTTCAGGATTTGAGCTTACAGCCACTAATTGTATTTTTTTATTAAGGGAGAAGATGTGAGTAAAAAAATTTAGAGAACAGGTTTTTTTTAGTTTTCTAATTCTACACTAACTTTTATGATTGTTTTGAAAACTGTTTTTGAAATATTCCAACCAAATGCACTTTCATGAAATTTGCTGTATCCCTCAAAAATAAAAAAGTGAACTTATTCCTATATCAAAGAGGCTCTAAAACACTCAAATGTTGAGACAAAAGAACTTGGCACATCTATGCGAAACTTGTAGTGCAAACATAGATAGCCCACCAATGCAGGCTTTATCCCCATACTCTACAAAATGAAAAAAATAATAATAATAATAATTGCTCAATTCATGATAAAACAATCACAAAATGCCAATTGAATTCAACTTTTCCTAACATCAAATTTCTTTGCCAAGAAATGAAAATCGATTGAATAGTGAGACTCGAGCCTTTATGACTTAGATTACCATTCTCTAGAGACCAACCCAGAAATGAAGAAAAAATCTCATACCTCCTCAGATGTGAACGCCTGTATATAAATCTTGTATACTGGAGTATTCTATCCCTCGGATATTATCTAACACTAAAAGTCAAGAAGCAAACTCTTATCTGTGCACAATGAGTACGATGTTCATTAGGAATCCTTAAATACTAAAAATTTTCTATACTTTTGTCTCATCCTCAAACCATATAGAAATATTTAGAAATTGGAATTATGAAGTGGCTTAAGTTCATGCTCTTTTGCGTATTTTGCAGTTTTGATTTGTTTTTCATGGTGGACTACTGGTTCCCCATTTTCTCTTATCATTAATATATTGAACTCTATGTTTCCTATCTCCCACCGAAAAAAGAAAAGTCACAACTTTGGGACATCAAGCACTAAATAACATCCCATGCCCAACCACATTACAAGCTCAACAAGACAACACCCCTATACATACACGGGAAACATACAACCGAATAATTGATACTCAATCCACAACCAAGTGAGAAAGAAAAAATATTCTTAAAACCATACTTACTATAAATTCAAGAGTAGCTTCTTTAGCCATTAGCTAGCCAACCTAGGTTATTACATTGTTCCTCAAACACAACCCTAAAATTTTGAAACTCATTACAACTTTCTAAAATTTGTGTAAGGCCATGGAATTTGTCAAGTCCACTCCATATTTTAGCTAAACAACACATGAAGTCCCAAAACTTAACCTAGAATCAGTTTTCTATCAAATTCATCATCATAAGCTACTTCATGCTATAAAAGTGACCAAATACCTCCTAAAATGATGCCTGCCCAAATTTCCATAAAATCTATCAAATTCCATACATTTAAAATTTTACTCTTCCCTTGATGACTTTGTGTTTCATTTATTCAATTAACACACATTCCAAAAGACAATTAATCCCAAGCTTCATTACATAGTATCAAACTCCAAAAGACAATTCAAAATTCAACCTAGATTATTTTTTTTTCAAATTTGTCATCAACCATCCTCAACATCCAGAAGCTCAAAAAAAACTCCCTAACATCATCCCCACCTCAACTTCCATAAAATTTATCAAATTTCAAACGTCGGCCAAACCTTATGAATTTGTATTTCATCTATTCAATCAATGAATTAATCCCCAGCTTTAATACATAGTATTAAATTCACCCAAATTCAATTTTTTTCAAGTTCATCATAAACCTTCCTCTATACCATAGAACTCAAAACAAAAATAATAAAAAAATAAAAATAAACCCCTTAAAATCATACCTACCTAGACCTCATAAAATTAACCAACTTCAATATTTTTGTTTCCTTTGTCCCATCGATGAATTAAAGACCAATAAACGTCCACCCTATTCAATATTTTACAAACCCATCAACAACACTCCTTGAAATCTTAGAACTCATCAAAAAATCTCCCCAATGATAGCCACCAAAACCCCCATAAATTTATCAAATTCCACCTTTGTGTTTCATTTATTCAATCAGTTACCTAAATACAAGTGGATTTTTTCTTGTTTTCAAAATCCATCACAAACCCCTCAACACATTAAAACTAATCAAAAATCTCGCCAAAATCATACCCACCTAAACTTTTACAATCTCAAACACCATAATGAGGAAAAACCTCGGGAATTTATGTTCCATTCATTAACCAAATAAAATTCGAAAACTTGATCAACCAGGAACAGCAAGCTATAATACAAATCAACCAATCAAACAAACTAATTTCATCACAGTATCACTAACAAACATAACAAGACATAATAAATCACAAAATTCTTTAAACAAATTATAATAATAATACCTTTTAACAACATAAGAACAGGCCTTATAAAGCTTCTGTTTCGAATCCGACAAAATATGCGGGTGGCAAAACCTCGTCAACGCCATCGGCTTCGATTTACACCCCGCCACTCCACACTTCTTCATCATCACACCGTCGTCCTCTCCCGTTCCCTCCCTTCGGTTCGTACCATTACCATCCTCTTTAATCTTACCATTACTACAATTGTTATTATTGTTCTCTTTATGACTCCTGTCGTCGTCTCTGTACGGACTCTTCCCGTACATCCAGTAGTACTCCTTGTGTTTCGCCCGCAGCTCCTCCATCAACGCCCAGTACTGCGACTTGTAGAGCTTCGAGAGGCGTTTGATGCGCTGCGAGCGTCGCTTCAGGACCTCGTAACGAGAGAGGAATTCGGCGGCGGAGAGCGCCGAGCTGTCGTTCGTCGATTCGGAGGAGGCGCGTTCCGTCGGAGGCAGAGGCAGAGGCGGTAACGAAGGGTCAGCCATGACTGAGTCTGGAGACCACCGAGTCAACGAATCGGTGTGAGAATATGTTAGCTTAGGGTTTCTAAAGAAACTAAAAGGTCGGTGGAGGAATTATATTGCAGACGAGTACCTAATGTTTTACTTAATTATTATGTGTAACAAGAGTTTATATGTCTTTCATTATAGTACCTTTTTGATGGTTTTTTTTTTTAAAATACCTTGGGTAATGTACTTGATAAAAATAAAAATAAAATATGATTAATTGGGTATTTAAAAAATATTAAAGCAATTAATATTTTTTCTACCAAAAATAGAATTCATTCAATTTTCCACTAAGTTTACTTAGAGTCGTCTTCTATAATCATAAACATGGGTTGTCCTATGTTTAAGTCGGTGTATATGTGTTAGAATTTGGAAATAAGTTTTAAATCAAAGTATATTTGTGATTTAAAGGTAAAGAGTCATTGTACTTAACCTCTAGCTTATCTATGGACCATTTGTATTTATGAAGTCTTAGTTATAATTTATAGTGAATTATACGAGTGTATATTGGTGTTTACGTATCTCATTAATCCTCTAAGATTAGGGGTGTTCAAAAGAACCGGTTGGAACTGGAATCGGAACCGACGGGTACCCTAGGTTTGGTTCCGATTCCTACCCAGAATCAATCATCAATTGGTAGGTTTTGGTTCCAAAATTTTGGAACCGTTACTGTGCAGTTCTGGTTTCGGTTCCGGTTCCGGTTCCTATAGTTAGGAACCGGAACCGGAATCAGGAACCAGAAACCAGGAACCGAGACTAATATAAAATAAAATTAAAGATTAGGGGGGTTAATAAAAACTTTTGTAAAATAAGTAATGTGAATACATTTATATTTATATTTCATAACATTTAAAGTAAGTTGGTTTGACTTTTGAGAATCTACTTTTACAAAGTAATGGACTTTGTAATTTTGAATTTATAATTTGTAATTTTATTTTTGTTAACAAGTGCCAGGTGGGGGTGTATTTGAAGTTTTTAAGGGTTTTTTGGCCATTTTAAAAACTTTTGGGAGGGTCATATAATTTTATAGGGTACCCAAAATCGGAACCGGAACCGTTGTTACAGGTTCTGGTTCTGGGTACCTAGGAACCGAAACAGTCGGTTTCGGTTCTGGTTCAAATTTCAAGGAACTGTCGGTTCTGATTCTGGTTCTGGTTCTGGTTCTTTCTAAAAGTGTAGGGTACCCGAAACCGAACACCCCAATCTAAGACCCTAGAATTATTAATTGGGTAAGAACTCTAATGGTTACCCCTATTAACAACCAAGGATTGACTCAAACTCAAGATATTTTGAGTAATATACCCAAAAGTTTCTATCGAACCGTTCGATCACCCAAATATAGTTGATATTAGACCATTGTTGAGACTTCTAATTTTGAGCCTTTTGGACCTTGTATTTTAAACATAACAAAGACGTTTACTATGAAATCGTAATTAACTTGCAAGTTTGGTGAAAGTCTCTAATAGGACGAGCACATATGTAATCGATCAACCACAATACACATACTTAACTTATAGATGCATCATAATCAAATAAATATGTCCATTCCCCTCCGTTAAAACTTTTTCCTAACTTAGTTGTTCAATAATGACACACCACATCAATGTGTATGACAAAGACACTACCATTACTAGGAAAATGAATCATATTATATGTAGGAAAATGAATCATATTATATGTATAAACCACAACACACCACATCAATATACGCAATATACAAACACACCGTAATTGGACAAATGTATATATTTCATTTGTTAGGGCCAAAAAATGTCTTCGGCCCAAATAAGGAAACACCTCTAACAAAAATGAAAGCCTAGGCCCAATCTCAATAGGGCCCAAGTCAGAATTCCATAGATGAGGCCCATTCGGTATGAAGTGCAGTCGGATTTTACCATCTGGACCCAGGTCTCCTGATCCTAGAGCACTTTCTGGGCTTACGGTCAATTCGAGATCCACAGTCGCCTACGGATCACACTCCTACTTGAACTCTGATATGAAAGTCAACTACTATCCCAATTCCTCCAAGGTTTGTATCCGAGTCACGCTCGAACTCCCTTACCTGCCGAGATAAGGGAGCCAAAGGTTACACCCTTTGGGAGAACTACTACTACGAGGACTCCCAGTTCCACTAGGATTGGAAGACCATACAGTCACTATTTAAACAGAGGTCAGCCCTCTAACAAGGGATAGAAAACATTACACCTTCAAACCCTAGAGTTCCCACTTGAGAACTTCGCATTACAGTCGTAGTCACAGTCCCTGACTAGACTTCCGGTAACTCTTCCTTTTCCTAACCTTCACTAAAACTAGCCTCGCTCAGTCTTGCTTACTTAAGCGTCGGAGTGCCTATGGCAAACACCACCCTGGTGTTTTTCGTCTGCTTCACGCTTATTTTCTCACGTGTGCAGGTGCAGCAGATTGTTAGTGGCCTCAACCTCACGAGATCAGTCCTTCCTTCTGTAACGGTAGATTTTTGCATCTACAGTTTGGCACCCACCGTGAGGCCTCTAGCAATCATTCATCTCAACAAACCCTGCTACGTGAAGAAACTCTCCATGGTTGACAATTCTGATAACACTAATCCAAGCCTCAAGGCCAAACTAGAGGCTCTAACCGCCCTCATGCAACAGCATTCAGATAAGGTGGCAACATTGGAAGCTGAGAAACACTGCCGTCCGAACTGAAAATGCCTCCATCAGGGCCGAGAACCAATCTCTAAAAGAGAAGGTAAGTCAATTTTATGATCTTGAGCTTCTGCCTTGTCAGGTACCACGCAATCGGTTTCACGCCTCGGTTCCATCTATGCAACCTTTCCAGACTCCAAAGCACGGACCCGCAATCTCGGATACGAGGTCGCGCCAACTATGTTCGTCATTAGTTGACAATTCAACCCTGACTGATAGGGAACGGGGGCCACCGATAGAGCCACTCTCGGTCGATCCGCTTCAGGCACGAGATCAAGGAGTCCAAGCGACTGAGAGCCCACCACAGCTAGAACCACCCATCCTCGCCATCCCATCCCACCTTCAGTTAGTCATCCCTACCCAAACACCACTTGGCTCTGCTCATCCTCGTAGGTCAAGCGGTCCTCCACTCCTTCAAACTACCCCGCTCGAGTCCATTGATCCCAATGGACCGAACAAATCCCAAATAACACCCCTTATCATCTATGTGGGGCGAAACACCCGATCGATCACGAGGGGAGTCATCCAACCGGAGGGAATGAATGGGGATCAAAGCTACCCAACGACAAATAACGGAGTGATCCGTCAGACTACACCACGCGGATTAACCCAATGCAATGCATCAGACGTGAATCGTGTGGCCAACCTAGTTAACCAGGATGACCTAGTGGTATCCATATCTCCTATGAAACAAATATTGGCCAAGAGACTGGCCGACATAGAGGCTGTGATGAGGCGTATACCCGGAATGTCAATCCCAACAAAAAAAAGCAAACCTCACTATTATGCCGATTCACCCTTCGTAGACGCAATCGCACTAGCTGAGATACCACATAAGTTCACCATTCCCATCATGAAGCCTTATGACAGAACAACCACCCCAGACGACCACATAGCCTCCTACAAGCAGCGGATGTTTATCGTATCGATACCCCAAGCACTGAGGGAAGCCTGCATGTGTAAAAGCTTCGGTTCAAGCCTCTCCAGCCCAGCACTCCAGTGGTATACCAACCTTCTAAATTGTTCAATCAACTTCTTCGCCCAACTCACTGACACCTTCATTGAACAATTCACCAGCAGCAAAAAGCTCAAGAAACTATTAGCTGATTTGTACAGAGTCTATCAGAAGATGAGGAAACCGCTTAGAGAATACGTCAGTAGGTTCAATAAAGAAAAAATCTACATCCCTTTCTGTAACCCAAAGACAATAGTAGACGCATTTAGAAATGGTCTCTTTCTGGACGGAGAACTATACAAAGACCTGACGAAGCTCAATTGCACCATGATGGAAGACACCTTAGCCAAAGCTGTAAATGAATCGGATGAGGCATGCCAAGTACGATGACTGTCCCCAAAAGCGGAACGATAGAAGGTTAGAGTCTAGATCATTTGAGCCCCGTTACTAACCCCCTCCACAGAACCTGAACAAGGTAAAGGGACCGTATGACCGCCCACCAATTAGAACTGACAACAGACCATCTAGGTCAAGCCAATTAGAATTTCTGAGTACAACCTCAATGTCGAACCAGCCCAAGTTGTGGCAATCATGAAAGGAATGGGACCTACCGTTTAATGGCCGAACAAGCTCAATCCCGAAGCAAGAAGGGACATGACCAAGTGGTGCGAATTCCACAGCGACTATAGTCATAACACTGTAGACTGCATCGCCCTGCAGTTGGAAGTCGCCACGCTACTGAAGAGGGGACATCTCTGAGATCTACTAACGAATAAAGGGAAGAATGCAATCAGCCAGAAAAGCTCGAAGGAAGCATCCCCCCTCCCCCCCGGCCGCAAGAACCTACACCAAAGGGTTTCTGCTCCATTATCTCTAGTGGGTCAGAGATCAGTGGGGTAAGCTATTCCTCAACCAAGCGTTATGCCTGAGCCAACCATCACCTAGAAGTCAAATCCATCCATCCGCCCTCCCGACTGCACACCAACCAGGTAATCCAGTTTGAAGATGATGAGCTAGTCACCCTAGTTGCCCCTCATCAAGATGCTCTCATCTCCCTCTAGATCGCAAACATCCTGATCAAGAAAGTATTCATAGATGGAGGATCCTCAGTAAACATTCTATTCCTTGAAGCAGTGAAGGTCATGGGACTAGACGAAACAAACATCAGCAGATGACCAACTATACTAGTAGGGTTCAGTTTCGAGCAGAAGTACACCATAGGAGAAATCGCACTGCTTGTCTACACGAGCGGAGTCAACAAGCAAACCATCTTTCTAGTGCTCGATTGTCCTTCACCATACAACGTCATTTTAGGCTGACCTTGGATCTATGACATGCGAGCTGTTCCATCCACCTTCTACCAAACTATCAGGTTTCTAACAAAATTGGGAGTAAGGAAAAT